TGGAAGCCTTAGCTGTGCATCCTTGGAAGAGACCTGAAAGACAGCCTTGCGGAGGACCCATGCGGGCAGAGCAAGGCTGACAAGAGCTTGGCAAATGCTCCTACAGCCCTGGGGTAAAATCAGAGAAAGCTCATTACTTCTGACCTTTTGAAGACTGGAATTGGGCAATGGCACGGGCTTGCCCACCAGCTCTGCTGACATTTGGTTCCATTAGGGAGCAGGAGCTGGTTTCAATGTCCTGAGCACAATTACCAAAGCTAAGTTGAACCGTGTGACCACGGTGCTGTGTTTTCAATTATTCTCTCTCTCCTCTCTTACTATGCCAGGCCTAGAGGGAACACAGGCTCCCACAGAAGTCCGATCCTGGCTTCTCCTCTACAGTCCTTTTGCAATTGTTCCCTTTCTTTTTTACATTTTCCACAGTAACAAGGCTCATTTTGCAAACCCTCTTTGCTCTAAACTGAAGGGTTAATCCGTGGTCCTCAGTACATCACCAGCCTCCGATTCCGGGGCTCCACTGGACATCCCACGTGACAGCAACAGCCGCAGAAGTCGCGGTTCTCTCTGGAAAAGCTTATTTTTAAAAACTGACTGTACTCATCAGACACTCCTGCAACGGTCCTCTGGGATTAGCCCAGTTTCCACTGAGGAATTCGATCCTTCTGGTCTCCTAAACCCTACATGCAGCTAACATTTCCACCACTGAGGGCAGGACATGCATTTTACTGGGTCCCAAAGGTCTCCACATGTTTGTGTCTTGGAAAATGCTCACTGAGTGAGCTCACCTTTACTGGGAGAGCTCTTGTAGGCTGCAAAGGGTGGGGGGATAGAGGGGGGAAGGGAACTGGGTTTGCAGTCTAAGAATACACACAGATGGTGGTAATGCTTGGTGAAAAAGAAGGCAAGAGGCCTTTATTCCAGAGCCAAGCACTGAAGGGGAGAATTTGGGCCTTGACTGGGGGTGACTGGCTCCTCTACTAGACTTGGATGGGATAAAAGACAGTTTCAAAAAGCCTCTCGGCCTTTGAATGTCACTATTTTCCATAACTTATGCCAGTGGCATCAGAAAGAATAACTATGCCAGGAGGATTTTTTTTTTTTTAAGCAACAAAGAGGACATTTTATTCATTTGTCTAAGTGACTAGATAGCATGGCTTCAGGTATAGTATGACTTCAGGCATGGCTGTATCTAGGTATTGGTATTATATCATCTAGGCTCATCCTTTTCTTTCTGTCTTCCTTTCTATCTTCATCTTCCTCTGTGAGTTCTGGACCTTCTGTGTTGGCTTCACTCTCAGACAGCCCTTTCCATGAGGTGGTACGGGCAACTCCTTATTTATAGGTTCTCCGTACAGCACCAACGGAAGTCCAGAAGGGTTTTAAACTTTGATTGTCTTTCAGTATTTCAAATGCCTAATGGACCAGTGTTGACTGTGACACACACACACACGCGCACACACACACACACACACACACACACACACTTCCTTCTCCATGAGTCCCAGGTGAACTACGGGGAATCCTCATGAAGTTGAACAAAATGCAACGACGTTTGGGTACATTAATCCTTACCGTGGTGCTGGTGTTGAGAGCTTATAGTTCTGGGAAGTTGAATTGACAGAATGCAAAGGAATGCCTGTGTAGGGTTATGGTGGCAGGGAGGAGAGCATTTACAATTTGGATTTGAAAGATGACACCCAGAAGTAAAGGCTAGTAATGAGAAGATGGGGGGAAAAAGAGCTACTCTAAAATCTTGATTTCTGTGTATTCTTCAACCAATAGATATGAGCATAGATATTCAGATTAATGAATCCTCTAGAAATAAAGCAGGCTTTGAGCAAGCAGACCATGCCCTCTGGACTTGGGTTCATGACTTTGGTAAAATGCAGAAGTGATAAGAAAAAAAAAGTTTCAGTGGTTTTGGGGGAGGAAGCTGACTCTGTGGGCTGTAGCTCAAAGAGGAGGTGAGCCTGAGGGTAGAAAGTGCCGAGTGTAAAACATTTTGTTCAGGAAGAGGAAGGGCCGAAGAATGGTCCATTGTCAAAACCATGCTTGTTGTTAACAGTGTTGGTTTGTATGCTTTACAATCTGTTAAGGAACTTCCTTGGTGGTCCAGTGGCTAAGACTCTGTGCTCCCAATACAGGAGCCTGAGTTTGATTTGTGATCACGGAATTAGATCTCACATGCTACAACTAAGAGTTCACATGCCGCAACTAAAGATCCCGCATGTCACAACTAAGACCTGGTGCAGCCAAATAAATAAGTAAATATTTTTAAAAATCTGGTAAGGTAGCAGTGAAAGTGAAAAATGAGTCGCTCAGTTGTGTCTGACTCTTTTGTGACCCTATGGACGCACCAGGGTCCTCTGTCCATGGAATTCTCCAGGAAAGAATTCTCCCACTGGAGGGGGTAGCCGTTCCCTTCTCCAGGGAGATCTTCCCAACCCAGGGATCAAACCCACGTCTCCTGCATTACAGGCAAATTCTTTACCATCTGAGCCAACAGAGAAGCCCAAGAAGATTGGAGTGGGTAGCCTATCCCTTCTCCAAGGGATCTTCCCGACCCAGGAATCAAACTGAGGTCTCCTACATTGCAGGTGGATTCTTTAGCAACTGAGTTACAGGGAAGCCTGGCAGATCTCATGTTAAATGTTCTTACCATAATTTTAAAAAGGTGAGGGGACGATATGAAAGGCATAAAGAGAGGCAGGTAACAAGAAGAGGATGTATATACAACATGTAATTTTTTCAAAGATGGACAATTTGAGTATGTTTACATGCTGAGGATAAAACCCAGAAGAGAGGGAGAGATTGAGGTTAAAGAAAGACATTAATCAATGACTGTGCAGAACCATGGCAAAGATGCAGACCCCAGAGTCAGACTGCCTGCTTAAATTCCTGCTTTCACTGAGTTCTGGCTGTACAATATTGGGAAACTGACCTAACCTCTCTGTGCCTCAGTTATCTTTTTAAAAAAATCTCTTGCTTATTTTTTGGCTGTACTGTGTCTTAATTGTGGCACAGAGGATGTTTGATCTTCATTTCAGTATTTGGGATCTTCAATTGAGGCATGCAAACTCTTAGTTGTGCCATATGGGATCTAGTTCCCTCACCAGGAATTGAACCTAGGCTCACTTCATTGGGAGCACAGAGTCTTAGCCTCTAGACCACCAGGAAAGTCCCCATGAATTCCATTTTGTGTGTGTGTGTGTGTGTGTGCAAAACTAGGATGTTGATGGAGCCTACAATAGATTTTATGAGAACTAAATGGTAAAGCAATTAGAACAGTACATCATAAACACTAAATAAGTGTTGTTGTTGATGTTGTTCAGTCGCTCAGTCATGTCCAACTCTTTCTGAGTCCATGGACTGCAGCACAACAGGTTTCCCTGTCCTTCACCATGTCCCAGAGCTTGCTCAAACTCATGTCCACTGAGTCAGTGATGGCATCCAGCCATCTCTTCCTCTGTTGTCCCCTTCTCCTCCTGCCTTCAATCGTTCCCAGCAGCAGGGTCTTTTCTAATGAGTCAGCACTTCAAATCAGGTGGCCAAAGTATTGGAGTTTCAGCTTTAGCATCCGTCCTTCCAATGAATATTCAGGGTGGATCTCCTTTAGGATTGACTGGTTTGATATCTTTGCAGTCCAAGGGACTCTCAAGAGTCTTCTCCAACACCACAGTTCAAAAGCATCAATTCTTTGGCGTTCAGCCTTCTTTATCATCCACCTCTCACATCCATACATGACTACTGGAAAAACCATAGCTTTGACTATGTGGACCTTTGTTGGCAAAGTAATGTCTCTGCTTATTAATATGCTGTCACATGATGTACTCTGCATATAAATTAAATAATCAGGGTTACAATATACAGCCTTGACCTACTTCTTTCCCAATTTGGAACCAGCCCATTGTTCCATGTCTGATTCTAACTGTTGCTTCTTGGCCTGCATACAAGTTTCTCAGGAAGCAGGTAAGATGGTCTGGTATTCCCATCTCTTTAAAAATTTTCCACAGTTTGTGGTGATCCACACAGTTAAAGACTTTAGTATAGTCAATGAAGCAGAAGAAGATGTTTTTCTTGAATTCTGTTGCTTTTTCGATGATCCAGTGGATGTTGGCAATTTGATCTCTGTTTCCTCTGCCTTTTCTAAATCCAGCTTGAACATCTGGAAGTTCTTGGTTCATGTAATGCTGAAGCCTAGCATGAAAGANCTTTAGCTTCTCTTCTTTTCTCAGCTATTTGTAAGGCCTCCTCAGACAACCATTTTGCCTTTTTGCATTTCTTTTTCTTGGGGATGGTTTTGATCCCTGCCTCCTATAGAATGTTAGGAACCTCTGTCCATAGTTCTTCAGACACTCTATCACATCTAATCCTTTGACTCTATTTGTCACTTCTACTGTATAATCATAAGGGATTTGATTTAGATCATACCTGAATGGCCTAGTGGTTTTCCCTAGTTTCTTCAATTTAAGTCTGAATTTTGCAGTAAGGAGTTCATGATTTGAGCCACAGTCAGCTCCTGATCTTGTTTTTGCTGACTGTGTAGAGCTTCTCCATCTTCGGCTGTAAAGAATAAATCAGTCTGATTTCAATATTGACTATCTGGTGATATCCATGTGTAGAGTCTCTTGTGTTGTTGGAAGAAAGTGTTTGCTATGACTGTGAGTGAGTGAAAGTAGCTCAGTCGTGTCCAACTCTTTGTGACCCCATGGACTATACATTCCATGGAATTCTCCAGCCCAGAATACTGGAATGAGTAGCCCTTCCCTTCTCCAGGGAATCTTCCCAATCCAGGGATCGAACCCAGGTCTCTCACACTGCAGGAGAATTCTTTCCCATCTGAGTCACCAGGGAAGCCCAAGAATGCTGGAGTAGATAGCCTTTCCCTACTCCAGCGAATATTCCTGACCCAGGAATCGACCCGGGGTCCCCTGCATTGCAGGTGGATTCCTTACCAGCTGAGCTATGAGGGAAGCTATGACCATAGATACCATCATTTTTATTGTTTTTAAGTCTGAAGAAACTGAGGAGTGGAATCCAGAAAACAGATGGGTGGATTGGATGTGCTCCATAGGAGGGCACATGTTTCACTATGAAGGGTATGGACAGGTAAGGATGGATGGCAAATGGACTTGTGAACTCTGGTATACACTGTCACGTGTGTGCATCCTCTGCACATGGTTGTGCTGTGTGCACTTTACTGTACAGTCCTGTGTAGAGGGCAGTAGTGCAGCGTCTTTATTTCAAGCCCGGGATGTCCAGAAGCAAGTGTAAAAGCAGTGGTGATATAGCTGATCCTACTGTACTTTTCAAGGTATTGTGCTGTGAGATTAAAATTTTCTTAATTTTTTTTTGTTTTTTCTTTATATATTACTTGTGTGAAAAGTACTATAAACCTATTACAGTACAGTAGGAGCTTCTTGGGTGGCTCAGATGGTGAAAAATCTGCCTGCAATGCAGGAGACCGGAGTTCATTCCCTGGGTTGGGAGGATCCCCTGGAGAAGGGAATGGCAACCCACTCCAGTATTCTTGCCTAGAGAATCCCATGGATAGAGGAGCATGGCAGGATGTGGCCCACGAGGTCACAAAGAGTCGGACACGACCTAGCGACTAACACTTTCAACACAGTACATTGCTCCATAGCCGATCGTGTTAGCTGGGTACCTCAGCTAACTTGGACTTAAGAACAAATTGGACTTATGAACACACTCTCAGAACAGAACTGATTTGAATACAGGGGACTTACTGTTTTCTAGATGGAAAGACACAGAGTACAGGACTTTGGGATACTGGCAAGAGGGTGTTTGATAAAATGGACCAATATTTAGCTGTGTTAATTGCTCAGTCATGTCTGACTCTTTTCAACCCCATGGACTGTAGCCCGCCAGGTTCCTCTTTCCATGGGATTCTCCAGGCAAGAATACTAGAATGGGTGGCCATTCTGTTCTCCAGGGGATCTTCCAGATCCAGGGTTTGAACCCGAGTCTTCCGCATTGCAGGCAGTTTCTTTACTGGACTTCCCTTGTGGCTCAACTGGTAAAGAATCTGCCTGCAATGCCAGAGACCTGGGTTCCATTCCTGGGTTGGGAAGGTCCCCTGGAGGAGGGAAAGGCTACCCACTCCAGTATTTTGGCCAGGAGAATTACATGGACTGTATAATCCATGGGGTCACAAAGAGTAGGACACGACTGAGCGACTGACTTTGACTTTCGCTTTGTTTACTGTCTGAATCACCAGGGAAACCCACTGAGTTACTTTATACTAAAGCATCAAGAAGAGTGCCTGATAGATAGGGTACGCTCTCAAATAGTTATTCATTCATTCATTTTGATTCATTGTTATTGGTTGCTATAGACATGTATGTCTGTGTTCTGTCATGTCCGACTCTTTGTGACCCCATAGACTGTAGCCTCCACCCCACCCCCAGGCTCTTCTGTCCATGGGATTTGCCAGGCAAGAATACTGGAGTGCATTGCCATTTTCTCCTCCATGGGATCTTCCTGAACATGCGACTACTGTGTTTCCTACATTGCAGACAGATTCCTTATCACTGAGCCATTGAAGTTGGTAGATAAATTGATAAAATTAAAATACTAATAGAGAAAACAATACAATGCACCTGGGTATTGAAAAATTCTGTCTTCATTCAAGAAGATGTTCTCTTGGGGAGATTATATAATGTGAAAGGGTTTCTGCGTGATGAAATGCTGGAAGACCTCTGCTTTTCCTTATTCAGTACTAGCTGTGCACCAACAGCAGTACCCGTGGGCCAAGAGCATCCCACAGTCTGTTATTCTGGCAACAGGCTTTATTTTGTGGCTTGGGCCTGAGTCAGAACTCTGCAGCATCAGAGCCCCTTAACCACCTGCCTCATGGACAGGATTCATGCCTGAATCCATGACAGGCACTTCTCAGTGAAGTGGAGCTGAGCTGTGCTGAGAGTGATGCTGTTGACCTGATGAGTAAAGCCAGTTTTTTACTCATCCCAGGGTTTGATCCCATGGGGAAAGATGAGAGAGGAGACCGTCAGCCTGGCTGAGATGCTGACCAGGTGTGACCTTAGTCCTGGGGAAGGGCACACACGTTTGCCAAGTACCTGCTGTGTGCTAAGCCCTTTGGCATGAACCATCTAAGATTCACCTTCTTTTATGCTCAAAACAAGCCTGGTGGGTCTACGTTAGGTGAGCCTCCCAGCCTCCTTGTAGGCTCTTTATCTGGGAATTGGGCTTCCCAGGTAGCTCAATGGTAAAGAATCCACGTGCCAAGCGGGAGACACAGGTTTGACCCCTGGGTCGGGAATAGCCCCTGGAGGAGGAAATGGCAACCCACTCCAGTATTCTTGTCTGGAGAATTCCATGGACAGTGGAGTCTGGTGGGCTACATTTCATGGGGTCCAAAGAGTGAGACATGCCTGAGTAACTAAACGGCAGCAGCATCTGGAAATTGAGGGCATAGACATCAGCAATCTTCAGCCTGGGCTCTGAATCCCCAGGTTTACTTGGAGATGCTACAGGAGTGACCAGAGGTAGCAGAGGGGACTGGCAGGTTGAGCCCAGTCCTTTTCTTCACTCTGACCTGCTCTATAGGCTGGAGTACCCCGTGCACTCTTGTCTGAAGAATGGCTTTTACATTTAAAAGTCTCGCAGGTCTCTGTGAGCTCTAAACTCCTACCCGGGATCTGATCACTGACTGTCCTGCAAATGCATGTTGTGGCTTTGCATTTGAACCTCTTTCTCTCTGTCTCAGTGTCCCTGTGTGTAGAAGGAGGGTTTGGATAAGAGAAGCTCTGCGCTCTGTGAGCCTGAGAGTGATTGTTGTTGTTCAGTTGCTAAGTCGTGTCTGACTCTTTGAGACCTTCATGGACTGCAGCACGCCAGTCTTCCCTGTCCTTCACCGTCTCCCAGAGTTTGTTCAAACTCATGTTGGTTGAGTCAGTGATGCCATCCAACCATCTCATCCTCTGTTGTCCCCTTCTCCTCCTGCCTCCAATCTCTCCCAGATCAGGGTCTTTTCAAATGACTCAGCTCTTCACATTGGGTGGCCAAAGTACTGGAGCTTCAGGAGGGTGTGGTGAACACTTGATCCCTCCATGTGGTGGGCACCCTGGAAGGGCCAGTCACATCGAATGATGATCTCTCCATCTGTCCTGCTTCACAGACATCGTGGCTCAGTTCCAGGACTTGTGTCTCGCTCCACTTGTCTGCAGCAAGTTCCATTGCCTCTTCCCATTTCCTTTCTCCTCCAGGGACCCACGAAGTGGTGGCTAAACCCAGTCCAGTCACCACTCGTCAGCCAAGGGCCAGAGATCAGGAAAGGAAGAAGGGCAGCTTTACCTCCTCCCTGAGGATGGAGCCTCACAGCCGTTCCGGAAAGAGCAGAAAATCCACCAAGTTGCGGTCCATCTCCCGCTCCCTGATCCTCTGTAACGCCCAGACCAGTGATGACAGCTCAAGCCCTGATGAGAGATACCCTGACCCCTTTGAGATTTCCCTGGGCCAGGGCAAGGAGGGAATTTTCCATTCATCCGTGCAGCTGGCAGACACGTCAGAGGCCGCGCCCCGCAGCGTTCCTGACCTCACATTGTCCTCTGAGGCCACACAACTCCAGGCAGCTGGGAACGATCGAGGCAAGGCCTGCAGGAGGATGTTCTTCATGAAGGTGCGCCAGGGTGTGTGTGGGGCGGGAGGAGTCCCCGGTGGCTCCTGGGGCCATGAATGAAAGTCAACACATCGTCCTAGTCCAAAGTCAGGGAGGCACCGAGTTCACATTCTGAACAAGAGCAGGGAAGAGGTTGGGGCAGCACCCGCTGGAACGATAACAATGAGTCAGGCTCAATTGACCTTCCTGCCTGAGGGACTCATGGAGGTTCTGTGTAAGCCCCCCACCCAGGTAAACGGAGCCTAGATCCCTGCTGGAAAATGCCAGGTGCTATACACCAGGGAGGTCATGTCTCCAGACAGGCAGCTCGATTCACACCAGTCGAGAGCCTGATATTAATAGAAGCTGACTTACAGGGCCCAGACCCGGCAGGAGCCCGTATATTGAGCAGGGCAAGGACTTCAGGCTGAGTGAGTCAGCACTGGAATGCCAACCTTGAACATTCTCCAGGTGCCCCCTGCCAGTTCCAACACAGGTGTGTATGAGGCAGGAGAGGGGAAGCTAAGTAGGGTTTGCTGTGCTTAGTCACTAAGTCATGTCTGACTCTTTGCGACTCCATGGACTGTAGCCCGCCAGGCCCCTCTGCACATGGGATTCTCCAGGCAAGAATATTGGAGTGGGTTGCCATGCCCTCCTCCAGAGGATCTTCCCAACCCAGGGATCAAACCCGGGTCTCCTGCATTGGCAGATGGTTTCGTTGCCATCTGAGCCACCAGCGAAGCCCATGGGTACATTTAGTCAATGTTTAGAGAGTACCAACCCAGGTTAGGCACTGTTCTAGAGAGTAGGCAGACTCAGTCCCAGCCTGTGGGCAACTTTTATTCTAGTGGGGGAAATACAGATGTTAACAACTCAGCATGTGATAAAATATTCATAGTGAAGGAATATTAAGCAGAATAAAGGGATAGAGAGGGAGATGAGGAGGGGTCCCTGCCATTTCTGAAAAGGTGATCATGAAGGCTTCTCTAAAGAAGGGACATTCAGGACCTGAATGAAGAGAGCAGAGAAGTGAGTCATGTGAACATCTGGGGGAAGAGCATCCAGGCAGAGGGAACAGCATGTGCAAAGACAGGAAGAGGAGAGTGTGCACAGGGTTTCCAGGGAAGAGGGGAGTGGGGAGGATGGAGTCAGGGTGGGAGCCAGTGTCCACCATACACGGAGCTTTACTCTCAGAAGAATGGGAAAACATGGGAAGATGGAGCAGGGGTGCTGGTGGTTTAATTGCTAAGTCATATCCAGCTCTTTGTGACCCCAGGGACTGTAGCCCACCAGGCTCCTTTGTCCATGGAATTTCCCAGGCAAGAATACTTGAGTGGGTTGCCATTTCCTTCTCCAAGGGATATTCCCAGTCCTAGGATCGAACCTGCATCTCCTGTATTGCAGGTGGTCTCTTGCAGGAGGATTCTTTACCAACTGAGCCACCTCAATAATTTTAACAAGCACTCTGGCTCCCAAGCAGGGAGTGGAGCCTAGGGAGGCCAGTGAGCAGAGATTCGACCATAACCCAAGCCAGAAGTGATGTGGTTTTACTGAGAGGGTCATGGCAGTGGTACTGTGGATGGTCAGGGTAGGTATTTACTTTCAAGGCAAAGCCAGCATGATTTGTCCGTGGGAGGATGAAAGGTGGCAAGTTTAACTGCAAGTTCTGTCCTGACCAACCCCAGGAAAGGAAGATGGTGTGTTCTAAGATGGGAAATACTCAGAGCTGCAGAAATGACCAGTAAAAGGTGAGATGCCATCAGAAGGACATAGGATTTGACAACGCAGAGGTGGGTGGGAGAGACTCCCAGGTGGAGGGAACTGCATGAGCATAGATGCAGCAATGAGGAGGCCCCAGTGCTGATGTATGGGCTCCATGCACAGAATGGTGTGTCTGGAGCTATGTTCTGGGCACCTGTCTAGCGGCAGGATGCTGGAGACCTGGGGAGGCCAGATGAACAGGCAGAGGGCAGGAGACTGGTAAGACGTCTGGGGCAAGCCTCACCTTCTCGTCTCTCTGTGAGTCACGTGTGCACTAAATACTTTGGTTTAGACAGTGTTTTCACAGTTCTATCTCACTGACCCTTTCCAGGGAAGAAGGAGATCACAGCAGCATTTGTATTTCAGAGGCAGTGGGGTGAAGTACGACCTAGGGGCTGGAGGTGTGGGCTCATTAGTCTGATTGCTTGGGTTTGAGTCCAACTTTCCAAATTAGTAAACTGTGTTTTCCTGGAAAATTCACTTTACCTTTAAAAAAATTTTTTTTTTAATTTATGTTGAAGTATAATTGATAAACTGGAGGAGGGCATGGCAATCCACTCCAGTATTCTTGCCTGGAGAATCACCTTGGACAGAGGAGACTGGCAGACTTCAGTCCAGGGGGTTGCAAAGAGTCAGACATGACTGAGCAACTAAGCGGATAGTTGATAAACAGTGTCATGATATTGATAGTGTCAGATTTACAGCAAAGTGATTACACATACAGATGTATCTGTGTGCTAAGTCTCTTCACTTGTGTTCTACTCTTTGCAGTCCTATGGACTGGAGCCTGCCGGGGTCCTCTGTCCGTAGGATTCTCTAGGCAAGAATACTGGGGTGGGTTGCCATTTTCTTCTCCGGGGGATGTTCGTGACTCAAGGATCAAACTGTGTCTCTTGTTACCTGCATTGGCAGGTGGATTCTTTTACCACGAGTGCCACCTGGGAAGCCCCTATACATGTATCTATTCATTTGCAAATTCTTTTCCCATCTAGGTTGTTACATAATATTGAGAAAGAGTTCCCTGTGCTACACAGTAGGTCCTTATTGATTGCTTTAACTTTTTGTGTGTCCGTTTGCTCATCTCTGAGATGGAGACTTTTAGTAATGATATACTCCTCAGATGAGTTTTATGAGGACACAGTTATAAGTATTTACACAAGAAAATCCACCATGCAATGCGCATTGTTGTTATTGTTGTTTTTATTCACTAAACTGTGTCAGACTTTTTTGCAACCAGATGAACTGTAGACTCCTCTGTCCATGGGATTCTCCAGGAAAGGATATTGGAGTGAGTTGCCATTTCCTCATCCAGGGAATCTTCCCCACCCAGGGATCAAACCCACGTCTCCTGCATTGCAGGCAGATTCTTGAACATCTGGGCCACCATCCTGTGTCAAAAGTGCCAGGGCAGGAAGGTCCAAGTTGACAGCTGGTCCCAGTGTCCTTTCCTGGAGGAGCCTCTGTGTCCTCAGGAGCACCCTCCGCCCTGTCCCTCCTCGCAGGGGCTCACCACTCCCTGTCCTGGCTCCTACCCTGCCCAGCGCCCAGGCGTGACTCCCTTGGCCCAGGGGGACTCCTCAGCCTCCAACAATGCCATGGTTACACTGACTTCAAAACAACGTCTGGAAAGAGGCCCTATGACATCATGCCTGTCTCTAGAAACGCCTAATATGAAAATTAAAAAAGAGGAAGTTAGATAAACAGCCAACTGAAAAAAGGAATAAAAGCCTTATTGGATGTGTTGTGTTTGGCACGACCGGGACTAAGTCAGTCACCGCCCAGGGATGTGCCAGAGCTGGGCAGGGACGTGTAGAACCTGAAGCAGACATTTGGATCTGTGCTGTGCTTGAGGGTCCAAAGGGGCTTCTTTTTCAGGGTAGCGTCCAGAGCCCTGGGGAAGAGTGTTCAAAGTCAGATTCCCCAACCTAGTAAATAGAAACTCAATGTATCAGGCCTGGACTTTATTTTTTATTATTTTTTATGGATTTTTCTTAAAAAAAAACTTTGATACATATTTTATTTAATCCAATATATCCATAACCTTATTTCATTCATATAAAATTATTATCAAATAATATCAAATAATGGTCAAAGTATTTTACATCTCTTTTTTTGTACTAAATCTTTTGAAACCAGGCATATTACTTACATAACATCTCAGTTTGGACTAAGAACATGTCTTTTTTTCCTCTCTTTCTTTTTTATTTTCTAAATTATGAAAGTATGGTAACACATTTAAAAGAGACTTGGAAAATACAGAACAAAGTTACACATAGTCCTACTATATATTGCAATTATTTTTTAAGTAGATAAATTAAGATTTTGAGCTGGGATTTCCGGAGAAGGAAATGGCAACCCACTCCTGTACTCTTGCCTGGAAAATCCCATGGACGGAGGAGCCGGGTAGGCTGCAGTCCATGGGGTCACTAAGAGTCGGACACGACTGAGTGACTTCACTTTCACTTTTCACTTTCATGCTTTGGGGAAGGAAATGGCAACCCACTCCAGTGTTCTCACCTGAAGAATCCCAGGGACGGGGGAGCCTGGTGGGCTACCATCTATGGCGTCGCACAGAGTCGGACAGGACTGAAGCGACTTAGCAGCAGCAGCAGTTGGGGTTTCAGTATCAAACTCTGAAAATTAATAGAATGAATATACAGAAAAGTAGAAGGATATGGTAGAACTGAAAATCACCCTGAACCAGTTCAACATAATTAAGATTTATACAATTTTCACACAACAGTAGCATACAAATTCTATTCAAGTTCCCATGGACTATAAACTAGGACACACTAGGACTTATCAGGGGCCATAAAACAAGGTGCAAACATTTCATAGACCTCGACTTTTCAAAGGAAGGAATGCACAGACTCCTCGGCTCTTTTTCCAAATGGAAAGAGTATTTTTTAATACCCTCTAAGTAGAATATGGAATGCATTGAGAGATTGGGATTGACATATATACACTACTGATACTACATATAAAACAGATAACTAACTAATGAGAACCTCCCGTATGGCACAGGAAGCACTATTCAGTGCTCTGTGGTGACCTAAATGGAAAGGAAATCCCAAAAAGGAAATCCATATGGACATGAATTTGAGCAAACTCCTGGAGATATTGAAGGAGGCAGAGCCTGACATGCTGTAGTCCATGGGGTTGAAAAGGTTCGGACATGATTAGCAACTGAACAACAAAATGTGAACGTACAGCTGAGTCACTTTTTTGTACAACAGAAAATGACACAACATTGTGAAACA